GACTTCCAGATAAGAAGGAACATGGTGAAGATGGTCAACGAAGGCCGCTTAATGCACGAGGCATTGAGGGAGTCGATGTTGGACACCACCATCAAGGAGAGATACTTCCTTACACCGAACGTGTACTCGCAGGTGGCGGTCAGTCATGGGCGGCAAGACTATTGGAGATCCCGGAGCCCTCCGGCAGAAAGAAGCTGGACATCAGACAGGCCAAGAGATGGCGACAAGGGCAAGGGCAAGTCGCGGAAGGGCGGCAAAGGAAAAGGAGGCAAGAAAGGCAAGTACCATGACCGTACTCCCGACGGAAGACAAATATGCTGGAAATGGAACAATCCGAGGGAGAGGTGCCGCTTTGCGTGTGACCGGTTGCACGTATGCCAGATCTGCTTTGGTTCGCACCCGTCGCATGCCTGCGATGGAAGCGGCAAGCCCAAGGACACAGCTGGGGGAGCCCCCGATGGCGGCAACCGGGCGGCCTGACAGGACACACGGGTGGACCCCGCCCCAGGTCCATCCGAGGCAGGGGGCACAACGAGGGGCACACGGAATTCAGCAAGCAGCACCTCGAAGAACATCCAGGTACTCTACCTCTTCAGTGGCGCCCAGAGGAAATCCTCAGTGACTTCGAGGCTGGTGAAACTCGGGGAGAAGCGAGGCATCAACTTCCAGGTGCACGAGATTGACATCCAGAATTCACCAAACTGGGACCTCGCCAATAAGGACGTGCAGAGGGACCTGTTGCACAGGGTTGCAGCAGGTGAGTTTGATGTGGTCTTGGTTACACCCCCGTGCTCCACGTGGAGTAGAGTGCGGGGCGCCAACTGCAGGGGACCACCTATGATCAGGTCACGTTCCTACCCATGGGGCTTTCCATGGTTGTCAATGAAGCATCGAAAGGATGCAGACCTCGGCAATGTCCTGATCATCTTCATGCTGGATGTGCTCGAGGCCTTGGAGCAACATCCGGTCTCAAGCGGGGGCTACATCATTGCGGTCTTTGCGGAGGACCCGGAGGACTTGGGAGTTGCCTGGAGAGAAGAGGATGGCATGAAAGTGGACCCGGCATCTATCTGGCAACTGGACAGGCTGCGCACGTTAGTGAGGTCAGACTCACCCTTGGCGTTGTACACGGTTGTCTTCAACCAGTGTTGCTGGGGTGCCCCATACCGCAAGCCTACACGCTTGCTTACCAACATGTTGCCCTTGAAGAGCTGGGGTCCATGCCAGTGGCCTCAATTCGATACACATCGCAACTACTTGGGTCCCCAAGTCGTGGCCTGTCAATGCAGAACAACGGTCACTTTGGCAAAGAAGCCCAATGACACGGGCTTTCGCACTTCGACCACGTCGGTCTACCCAGAGCGCATGGACCGGGCTCTTGCAGAAGCCATTTTGACCACTTGTTTGACTACCCCTCCTTCAGCTAAAGAAGGGGGCCAAGAGAAGGAGTGGCAGGTCGGCGATGAGAACCCAGGGGCACTGCCTGCTGAACAAGGTGAAGGACATGGTCTACAGCCGGGACAAGAAGGAGCCGGTGATCAGGGAGTCCAAGATGGGCAAGGTCGTTCCTCGGAGAAGAGGGCGAGGGAGGAGGATCAGACAGAGGTGAAGCCCGGCCTCGCAAAGGCTGCCAAAGCCCATGGAGGTGCCGGGCCGCCCATACAGGTCAGCTACAAAGGTGAAAGGAGAGCGCTTCATGACGGTGCGGGATTGTGCTCGCCGGGGAGATGGCCTGTGAAGAGGAGGAGGCTGCCGAGCTCAGAGAGGGCGTCTTCGACATGTTCGTGGTTTGAGGAGGCCTTCAACAGCTGGTTGGAGAAAGTTGGGGGCGAGACGGCAAAGGGCATCTTCTGGAAGATGGCTGCGGGCAAGGTGCAGCAATCTCCCTTCGAAGAGGGCATGGCGGAGTTCCGGAGGAGCCTGGACGAGCACCTGGGTCGATGGGGATTGGACCCATTGAGGAAGAAGACCGATCGATCCTCGGAGATCAACTTCAGGAGGATGAGGGCGCTGGCGGAGGCCTTAGATGATGAGGACTGGGAGTTCCTGGGCACGGTGGCCTCCAAAGGAGTTGAGCTGGGGGTGGATATTCGGATGCCTCGTACTCCACTGGTCTATGAAGAGAAGACGAGATGGACGGTGGACGCCACTGATGAGAACGCGGAGGACATCGCCAGGCAAGTGCTGCAGGAGGTGGACAGAGGCACTATCATCAGGATGTCAGAGAAAGAGGCCAAGGAGCGCTATGCTGGGAGGCTGGCGGTGGCTGCACTCGGTGCCGTGCCCAAGGAGTTGGGAACGAAGAAGGTGCGACTCATACATGATGGCACCTACAGTGTGGACGTCAATCGGAGGATCAGGGTGTTGGACAAGATGCGATTCCCGCTGATTGATGACGCGGCGGCCATACTGAGGCAGGTGCAGGAGGAGGTGGACCAGAACAAGGGGGAGATCAGGTTCTCGGTGCTGTATGACATCGTCAGGGCACATAAACTTATCCCGGTGGTGGAGGACGATTGGGGGTTGCAAGCTTTCAGACTGCCGGGGGACTCTTCGGGAGACGTCTTCATGCACACCAGGGGCACCTTCGGGATCGCCAGCGCTGCATACTGGTTTGGCCGTGCGATAGCAGTGGGGGTGAGGTGCGCCCACAGGTTGCTGGGGAGGCTTCATGGCGTGTTGCACCTCATCTACGCCGATGACGGCTGGATCACGGCAGTTGGAAAGGACTTCTGGCAGAGGATCCTCATGTGGTTCTTCATCTTTGAGCTCCTGGAGGTGCCGGTGACTTGGGCCAAGGTGAGAGGAGGGACCCAGGTCGACTGGATCGGGTACTGTCTGAACGTCCACGACTACCAGAAGGGCATCAACAGTTCAAAGAGAGGCTGGATCGTGGGCTGGATCGAGACAAAGACGGCCCAAGGAGGTGTAGTGGGCAGAGAGTTGAAGTCAGTCCTGGGCAGGCTGAGCTTCGTGGCCGGGGCCCTCCGACACGTGAGGCCCTTCCTGGCGCCCTTGTTTTCGTGGGCCTCTACCATGGCGCCGGGGACCTTCTCTAACTTCCCGGACGCGGTGCTGATCTTGCTGGAGTTTATCAAGGAGGAGGTCACGAGAAGGCCGATGAGGCCTGCGGAGCCGCTGGAGAAGGACCCCATTGACATCTTCCGAGTAGACGCCAAAGCGGCTGGAGAGGAGATAGTGATTGGAGGTTGGGAGACGGGCGCAAATCCCGATCAGTTGAGGGCGCGGTGGTTCTCGTTCAGCCTGAACAGGAAGAACGCGCCCTGGGCCTACCTGAAGGGCGATCCTTTCAGGAACATCGCCTCCTTAGAGCTCATTGGGGTCTTGGTGGCGGTGATGGTCTTTGCACCAGGTTCGACATGGGTGAGAGGAGGAGCGGCGGTGACACTGACCGCGTACACAGACAACTTGGCGAACACCCATGTCTTGAAGAAGTTCGGCTCCAGTAGATACCCACTGTCGATCATTGCCATGGAGTTGGCTGTTCAGCTGGATATGGCGGGGATCGACCTACAGTTGCAGTGGGTACCACGGGGTCAGAACCAACCAGCTGATGACCTTACAAACTCACGGTTCGATGACTTTGATAGCAAGAACCGGATGAGCGTGGTCTTTGAGGACATGCCCTTTAAGGTCATGGGAAAGCTGCTGGAGAAGGCAGGCGACTTGGACACGGAGCTGAAGCTCTTCAGAACCTCCAAGGAGGCCAAGGCGGCGCAGCAGAGCTCCTCTTTGGCGACTGGGAAGAAGGCCAAGAAGGGCGAACTGCGCTGGAGAGATCCTTGGTGAGGACCGTGGGGTTTGTTGAGAAAACTTGGGTTTCCCTCAATAGGCGGGCTAGGAGTTTTAAGGACGGAGGGGGAGTGCAGGCCTCGCTTCGTCTAAAGTTGGGGGAAACATACGAAACGAGGTCAGTCACGAGAAACCCCTTCTTAAGATAAG